TGACGAGTTGCATTTTAGGTTAATAATTTAATTGTAAATTAAACATTACCGCCGCGCTTGAAACATGTAGGTATGTTACAACAGTAATAATTTAATCTAAAGATTTTTGAGCATTCGTTATTTTTCATTTTTTTTTTTTTTTTTTAAAAACATGTGTTGGTCGATGAACTATCAAGGCAAAAGATGATTGCCTTCCACAAGTTGTAGACAATGGGTCTCGACTTAGGCCGATCACCTCGGGCAACCTCACCTTGATGTATATAAAGCAAACAGAGCAAGCTCAGCAACAAATGTCCGATTTCCATCAGTAAATGTGGGTGTGCTAGAGATGGGAGAAACGAAACCAGTAAGGAGGTATCCAGAAATAAAAGTTGTAGCGTTTCAGTTTCAAATATTAGCTGGTATAGATCAGAACGTATTATCAAGTCCATCAAAATAATCTCCTTATTCCATATTAGAATTAAGAGCTTTTGAGTTAAATATATGTTGAGGAATGAACAAGTTCTCTTCTACCTTACGCAAAGCTACTACCCATGTTTTAAACAATTTGGTGTGTTTTAGGGAGACAATCACTTAAGATATTGATAGCTTGGATGAAGTGTTGACAATTGCATGAGCAGTATACAATTTACTTTATGAATAATATTTGCATTTGCAGATCGCAATAGCACATTGTCCTGAATTGTGTTGGGAGACTGGCAAATCGAATTATTCCTGGGTGGGTGCGTCTTAAAAGGGTTTGAAACTATGTTAACCTTCGTTAAAATTGGAGGGATTGTCAAGGAATTCAGAGAATTTTCTTGCGAAGAAATACACGACAATGAAGATTTCAAACTTTTTACCGACCGGAGACAGATTTGAATATCATACTGCAACTACTTGACGTCTGTATTACCTGTGATCGCAAAAAAAAAAAAAGATTTTCAGAGGCAAGTTTATCTATCCGAAAACAAATAGTACAATGCTCTGGCTAGTAAAACCGAGGATGTGCCGATAACAATTTGTTTGCATTGCGAGGCATATCTAGATGTATAGATATCGAAGACATTGCAGGTGGAACACATTTATGACCTTAGCTCGGTCCATCACGGATCAAAACAGAAACTGTATGCAGAGAAGTAGAATTCCAAATTATTCAAAGAATATTATTTGTTTTTGAAGCTAGTAAATTAGGTGACTAATATAGGGTGCAGTATAAAATCGAATATAAATAAAAAATATCGAAAAATATTTCCAAGTTGAAATATTTCGGTATGTACCGAACGTTGGGTCTATTTAAAACAAACACTTCACTTCAAAAGTAAAAAAAAATTCTTGCTGCCGTATATCTTGAATTATTAAACTAAATTATGCACAAAATGTAAAAAGAAAATAATAATATCTCATATGGTAAAATGTTAAACGTCATTTAAAAGACGCCGTAAGTTGGGTAAAATTGTCTCAAAATGCGAACAACCCTAAGAGAATTATAATATGCTCACCAAACTATAAAAAAATGCTTTATAAAATTATTCCTTAAATTCGAACTTTTATCCACCCGGCCCCACTGTACAGTGGTGAATTACGAATGCCGTACAAAATGGAATAAAACACAAGCAGTGGTTGGGAACAGGTAATGGAGGGGAGAGGGTAACTACCACGATACCAACCGTTAAATATATTATTGATGTGTGGTGTAGGCAGTTAAAGCGGAGCTTGGAAAAAAGAGCGTGAAATAATGATTGTTGTTATTACTGAGATCAACGCAAACCCGAGGAGCACAAATGATCTCTCAACAAGGCAGTAAATGTGTGGTGGATTATTATATAAATAAATTGTATGCATTCATGAGGACGTTATGATGTAGTGAATTATAAGAAATAGGCAAATATTTTCATTACAATTGAGAACTAATGCGAAGAAAACACATAATAAAGAAAGATATTAACAATTGTTAATAAATTAGTTCCACTATTTGTATTTTATTCCCTTTTGTACGGCATACGTAATTCACCACTGCACAGTGGGACAGAGTGGATATATGTTCTAATTTAAGGAAAAATTTTATAAAATATATTTTTGTTGTTGCAAAATGGTCAGGCCTTATCCCTTTTTTGTTGTTTTTTATAAAAACAACGTTTGTTTATTAGTGGAGAACGATGGTAATGTTTACCAGGGGGTAAGGCAGGGAATACCTAGGTTTCGGGAAGAGCCACCAATCCTCATCAGTTCCCTTGTTTTTTTTTTTTTTCTGGGATATTCTCCCCAGAATTTATTTTAAAAATAACTTCTATGACAAAAAACATTTTGTACCCAAGTGACGAGATCGTAAGCTCAATAGAAGAGGAACCAAAGAATTAAATAAAACTAAATTTCTTTTAGAAAGTCTTTTAAATCTTACAACCGCACTTATAAACATTTACATCTTTCTCCACTTGTTATGCTTTCGTTCGTTCGTTGATGGACTTGATAATACGTTCTGATCTATACCAGCAAATACTTGAAACGCTACAACTTTTATTTCTGGACACGTTCTTACTGTTTTCGTTTCTCCCATCTCTAGTACACTCAGCACAGGTAATACAGACGTCAAGTAGTTGCAGTATGATATTCAAATCTGCCTCTGTTCGGTAATAAATTTGAAATCTTCATTGTCGTGTATTTCTTCGCAAGAAAATTCTCTGAATTCTTTTACAATATCTCCAATTTTAACGAAGGTTAACATTTAAAACGCACCCACCCTCTGTCAGAAATAATTCGGTTTGCCAGTCTCCCAACACTATTCAGGACAATGTGCTATTGCGACCTGCAAATGCAAATATTATTCATAAAGTAAATTGTATACTACTCATGCAATTGTCAACCTTTCATCCAAGCTATCAGTATCTTAAATGATTGTCTCCCTAAAACACACCCAAATTGTTTAAAACATTGGTAGTAGTTTTGCATAAGGTCGAAGAGAATTTGTTCATTCCCCAACATATATTTAACTTAAAAACTCTTAATTCTAATATGGAATAAGGAGATTATTTGATGGACATGATAATATGTTCTGATCTATACAAAAAAACACTTGAAACGCTACAACTTTTATTTCTAGATACCTTTACTGGTTTCTTTTCTCCCATCTCTAGTACACCCACATTTACTGATGGAAATCGGACATTTGTTGCTGAGCTTGCTCTGTTTGCTTTATTATTCATCTTTTTGGAATAGGTACTTGTATTTACCATTTGTTTTAACCGACGGCATGTCGGCATAGCCATTTTGTAATTTTGGGTGCCACCAAAGATCATTTGATACGGTGCCACCAAAGGTCATTTGAAACATTATTGGAAACGACGGTTTTCCAATGAAAAGGCGGTTTAGACAGTGTAATTGTGGAATCAGTTTATAAATATATCTCGGTTGTGACAATAGGGATGTTAGAAGCTGTTGAATGAGGTACTTTGTATTCTTCTTTAATTGAAGAACTTCGAAATAATTCGTTGGAATTTGTAAGTTAACTTTGTGAACAAGTATTTGATGGTACATTTTCTGAACGACACCATTGAACATGTGTTTGTACAATCTCATCGCAGTAGAGGCTGGTTTCGTATGGTCCAGAAACAAATACGCGGATCTGTCGGTATTTAAAAATCAACCCATAGCGGCTAGTCCTGATGCCCCATGTAATTTCCGGGCATTTGATTTTCTTTGAAAGACAATTTTACCGTCTGAACGTCGACATACTGTTAATTTATAGTGTTTCTTACACCAAATATCTGCAGTGGCTTTCCGTTGGACACTTTCTCCAATTCCCAGAACTTTTTAAATTATTCGTTCATGGAACCAATGGAGCTCTATGTGGACTTTCAACTCATGATGCACCCAATTTTGTTACATTGTGCCATAAAATTCACGGAGAACTGATTTTGTAACCCTGATTTCATTTTAAAGAACTGTGCCGCCAAGCCCAGAAATCACCGTGGATGATTTCCTTGTGTGAATTTTTAATCGATTAATAACGCGAAGTGAATTAAAAGGCTCTGCAGATCAATGAAGGCTCGTATATTTAACAACATTCCTTGATGTTCCAGATCCAACAATGGGGTGTGTAGAACAGTTCTTTCATCCAATTGGAAAAAATGATTTTGGACATGTATGGAATTGCCATTACCGACATCTGGTGGTTCATTGTTAAAAGTTTATGCATGGTAAGATGCGGAACCGGATTTTGGAACATATTTGGGATATGTAAATTTAGTTTAGGTCTCCGACCCGCGGTATTTGAATGGGAGTCCCCTACTTCTGGATGTGACATGGTATGATGCTGCTCTTGCATTTGTTGGCAACATTGCAATACGTCGAAGAGTCCCAAAAAATTGTATTATTAGAAACAAACTTTTTAGCTCTCCACCATTCAATACCTACTCTACTTTTGAAGGTATTTGTACGTCATGATGGATGGTATTAATAGTTTTTACGCGTGAGTTTAACCGAATTGTATTTTTAAAGTCCGGTTCTTAAAGTTTGAAAGGGGTTCTCCTTCCTACGGCAAAACATTGTCTATATAGTTCTAGCTTTTCTATATCCCTCTATAACACTACCCCCGGATATTCGATATTTGGAGGATTTAAAGCACATTTTCAAACGGAATTCTTTAATATAAGGTACTTAAGGTTTGTAACGGGCAAGATATTGTCCATATAGGTTCAGATTTTCTTATATATACCACATAATTGGCAATATTCCGTATTTTGACGATTTAAATTACATTTTCTAATATAATTGTTCAAAATACTGCTGGTGTAGGCTCATTATTCCTTATATCACTAAAAAGGTGGCGCCTCCAAATCTTTTGTATTTTTTCGATTTGTGCGACATTTTGTAGCTGTTTTTTTAATTCTATACTCGCAATAGGTAACAACCACTATAGTAGGAAACCGGTACCATCGACTTTACGGCATTTTGAAGATTTATTGTTAGTCCGCATTAAGGAGTATTATTTACTATTAGATTCAGTTTTGGTTAAAGGATACTTTGAGTCTACAATTTTTATGCAAAATATTCGCAATGGATTTTTAAGAGTTAAACAGAATAGAGCTCTTTCTGGACGATCAAGTTGCTGTTTTCCACCTCTACGCTGCGTTCTTTTCGGAGTAGTTGCTTTTTGTTTATTTTGGACATTGTCTGTTTCAGTAGGGCACACAGCGTCATCCATTCTATTTACTTATAAAACAAATTCGGTGAATGATTACTTTGTGTGATAACATCGCTGCGTATGTGATAAATAAAAATAAAATGGTTGTTTTTTTATATTTAAATTTTAAATTTCAAAAATTTAATTTCAAAAATACTTTTTTAATTTGTATTGTTGTGTTTCTCAACTTGGAGTTCTCCGATTTGCTTTTGAATTGTGTAAAGGCGCCTCGTGTTTAACGAGAAATACTCAAGAAATGTTCATTAATTCCCAAATTGTTCATTAATTCCCAGACATTTAAATTGAATATTGTTTTTTATCAATATGCAATTTTTATTAAGGTGTATTATTTACTGTTAGATTCAAGTTTGGTTAAATGATACATTGACTCGACAGTTTTTATGCAAAAGATTCGCAATAGATTTTTAAGAATTAAGCAAAATAGAGCTCTTCCTATTGATCAATGTATTGTTTTTCACCTCTACGCTGCGTTTTCTTCGGAGTAGTTGCCTTTTGTTTGAGACATTGTCTGCTTCGGCGGTGCCAACATCGTCATCCATTCTATATTCTGTAAAAACAATATGGTGTGCAATTTCTTTGCACGACAAATATGAATGTTTACGTATGTATGTTTTTTGTATTTAAAATCTTATTTTTATGTTTTTGACATTTCAATTAATATACAAAAAAAAAATATACAAAAATTCTTTGAGTTGTATTTTTTGCTCCCTAAAAAACTGGCGTTTAATCACGTGCTTTTTTAATGTGCTGAGTCATGCTTTAGAAAGGGTTTACAGTCAAGAAAAAACTAATTTTTTTATACATTCTTCAGTGATATGGAGGGTATATATATTTTTGTTGTGACACCCTGAATATTTCATTTTTATACCCCCCACCTTGGAAAGGAGGGTATATTCACTTTGTCATCCCGTTTGTAACATCCCTAAATATTCGTAGTAGACTACATAAAGTATATATTCATAAACAGTCCCCATATAACGGTACCCCCCAATATTCGGTATTTTTATGATTTTTCTCAGATTTTTCACGCATTTGGGTCCTAGTTCGTGTGGCGGAACATTGTATAGGTCCACGTCCACGCCAATATAACGGTACCACCCGATATTTGGTATTTTGATTGTTTTTGCCACATTTTTCACGGATTTGAAAATTGTCCGAAAATTTGAATTTTTTAGGTCAAAATGGGTCCTAGTTCGTGTGGAGAAACATTGTATTTACAGGTCCAGGCTTTGGTATAGCCCCCCTATAATGGTACCTCCCGATATTCGGTATTTTGATGGTTTTTGCCACATTTCTTCTAATGTTTTCTTTACCCTAAGGTGGAGGGTATTAAAAGTTTGGCCCGGCCGAACTTAATGTTCTTTTACTTGTTTTTCTTTATTGTAATAATGTCCAAACATTTCAAAAGTCATATGATGTATGCTCTTTGGGAGTACTATTTAATATATTGTATTTCCTTCTCGCAAGTTCTTCGATAATAGAAACAATTTATTTAGTATGGTTATTGTTTCCGGCTTGTTTGGATGCCAAAAACAGTTTTAGTCGTTCTATCATTTTGAGTATATATAGTTGGGTTTACCATGACTTGTTGTCAGTATGCTTTGCCGCTGTGAGTATCCTCTATTATAGAACATAATATTATTATTCCCTCCACCTTGGAAAGGAGGGTATATAAACTTTGTCATTCCGTTTGTAACATCCATAAATGTTCGTCATAGACCCCATAAAATATATATATTCATAATCAGCAAAAAGTTCTAAGTCGAGTCGTCCGTCCGTCCGTCTGTCTGTTGAAATCACGATACAGCCCACATTATTTGACGTAGAGCGACAAAATTTAGCAGAGCAATTTGTATTGTTTCTAGGATGGTTGGTATTGAAAATGAGATATATCGGTCCACGTTTTGGTACCCATATAACGGTACCTCACAATATTCGGTATTTTGATGATTTTTAACACATTTTCAAGAATTTCTCTGAAAATTGGTAGTTGTAGGTCATAACGGGTCCCTGTGCGTGTGGCAAGATATTGCATGTGTAGATCCACGTTTTGGTATAGCCCCCATATAAAGGTATTCGGTAATTTGATGATTTTTGCCACATTTTTTCACTGATTTGTCTAAAACTTGGTATTTGTTGGTTATGATGGGTTCCAGCTCCACTAGCGAAACATTGCATGTATGGGTCCATGATTTGGCATAGCCCCCATACAACGGTACCTCCCGATATTCGGCATTTTAATGGTTTTTGCCACAATTCTTCTAATGTTTCCTTTACCCTAATAATTATTTTTTTGAAAACATTTTTCCTTTTCCTTAAATTGGAATCTCCTTCGCGTTTATACCATTTTTCAAGTTTGTTCTCTTATTAATAAAACTTTATAAAAAATAAATAACCAACGCGTTTTATCTCTGCAAGAATATAATAAGAGGTTATGGTCGATATCAAGCAAGAGTCAATTGAAAGATTCCGTGGAACTAATTTTGAGAACTGCATTTTTCGAGTGCAGATGTATTTGGATTCGTTGGATTTGCTGGATGCCATAGAGAAAATTCCATCAGCCGAACAAAAGTCAGCTTCGAAGTCAATTTGTTTCATGTCAGCGGTCCCTGATGGTAAGATAATTAAAGATAAGTCTGAAAATTTAATATTCAAAATAAATTCTGGGGCGACGGATCACATGTATAAACATGATTGGTGTTTCAATAATCTCCAAAAATTTAATAAACCCGTTACTAAAAATGTTGCGAAAGACACTACTAGCTTACAAGAAAGGTACAATAAAAGGATATTGGAAAGATACACCAATTACAGTGAAATATGTCCTAAATGTTAAAGGACTTCGGGATAACTTGCTGCATGTACCAAATCTAACAGAAAATGGAATACGGGTTGAATTTTCTAAAAAATGTAGCTCTTTTCCAAAGGGATGGAAAGGTCATTATGACAGCTCCCAATAAAGGAAGTATGCATAAGAATTGAATATAGGTTAAATGTAAGTTTAAGTACAACTGATTTGGGAAAATTATGGCACCAAAGAATGGGTCATCCTAGTGACAATTGTCTAGAAGAAATGGTTCATAAAATGGTTGATGGTTTGGAAAATGTTAAGTCTGTACGCATATGCAATGTATGTGTTCAGGGTAAGCAATGTCGTCGTCCTTTTAAAAATACTCGTGCAAAGTCGAAAGAATCTACACTGACATATGTGGACCATTTGATCCGCGATCGTGGGATGGTCACGGGTATTTTGTAAGCTTTATAGATGATTATAGCCACTTCGCATCCATTTATATACTCAAAAGAAATTCAGATGCTTTTGAACAATTTGTCGAATTTGAAGCAATGACTATGGTAATGCATAATCCCTCGGTATCGGCAGTAACTGTAGTCCACTGTACATAATATCTTTCAAAAAAGTAAAGTAATATTTTTAAAGGAACGGAATTCAGCTTCAACACACGGATTTTATACCCCACAGGAAAACGGATTTTCTGAAAGATTCAACCGCACTATAGTTGATAAAGAAAAGTCTATTCTTTAGAATCCGGTTTTCCGAAAGAAGTATGGGGTGAAGCCTTAACAACAACATATGTTATAAATAAAAGCCCCTGCAAATCTCTTTCTGACAAAAAGACGCCTGCCGAATTTAGTACAAGTTTAAGCCTTCCATTCCAAAACTAAGAGTTATTGGAAGCAAGATATTTATCTGGGTTGCTAAACAGAAAAGAAAAAAGAACAGTTTTCAAAATCACAAGAAATGATAATGATGAATTATACGTGTAATGGATACAGATAGTGGAATCCAATGACCCGAAACATAGTTATTGCAAGAGATGTTCGTTTTGTCGAAGACTGTTTATCTTATTTGCCTCAATTGCTTATAAGATCCCGCAGCAACGAGCAAGAGGGGGAATCTGTGGAGAGTTTTGTCAGAAGCTTGAATAAATTGCGTCAAAGGCGTAACCGATATTTTGCGAAGCTAAATGGCGAAAACAACTAAATTAAAAATTGGGTGAAGTTTGTGATGGAGTGTGTTAAAGTTCCAATTAATGAAAACAGAAACTATATGTACTGAAGTAGAATTTCAAATTAATCAACGAATATTATTTGTCTTTGAAGCAAGTAAATTAGGTGAAAACGTAATTTTCTGCAGATTTTCAATGAGTAAAAGACGACAAGTGTGTAACTGACTAATGTAGGGTGCAATAGAAAATCGAAAATAAACCAAAAATATTTCAAACGTAAAATATTTCGGTAGTGCACCGTAGGGTGCACTATTTTCAAAAAAAAAAAAATAAAATAAAATGGCATCATTCAAAAGCTTAAACAATTTATTGGTGCAGTATATCTTGAATGCGCGGAGTGAGTAAGCAATCAGTCCTATAAGTAATAGAATTCCAATAGTCGATAAACTTGCGATATGACCTTGATAGACCACATGTTGCAGGTGATGGATATGTTAGAGGTTTCGCTTATTGACATGATAGAGATAGAACGTGCTTAGTATATCGGTATGTTGCGTTAGGTTAATCATAGAAGCCCATGGAATATCTGGTTGTAGGGGTGTCGTTGAATTCTCGTTTTAGTGCATCGTACTATTGATTCTAACAAAATCATTGAAGATAACTAGCTAAGTACCGTTGACTGTAACAGTTGTTCTACAACCGCCAGTTGGCCATTGTTGACCATCAAACCATCGCTGTAATTGGTGGGAGGTTGTTGAATGTTGTGCTGCAGTTAGCGGTGTTACGTGTCATTAGTTCCAGAGCGCATGATGTGAGTGATGATGACAGTCAAAATGTTGGCATAGTATCGCTGCAGTTTCTTACTGCTAAGGTGTAATTGTGACATGTAGCGAGTGTGGATTCTGGCAAGTGGAGCATGAGCTGACCTTTTGCTCTTGGTAATATAATAATTTTCTTACATTTAAACTTAGGGATAGAATATCTTATCAGGAAATATATTATATTATTGTATTGTAAATCTTAATTTTAGCTACGAAGTTCTGCTTTTTTTTAGTGAAATTGATTTCATTGCTATCTAAAAGGATA